AATTTCAACAATAAACGGACAGCATACACTCCACTTGTTTTAAAATAATATATTCAAAACAGGTCAAACGTATGTACAAAAAATTATTTACACTATAGGATATCACAGTTGTATTCAGAGCTTTGAATAATTGCCTCTTTTTCGTCAGAGTCCACACAGGCAGGTTCAGTTACTTTAGCAACCCTTTGACAATACAGATTATTCTCCTCTATTTATGTTATTATATTACAAACTGTGAAACTCACTTTAGAAATTGCCCGTTACTGCTAAACTCATACGCAGTCTAACTTCACTTTTACTTTCATTTTCGCTAACATACTCTTCTTGCCCTAACTCGGTCGCCTATAGATATATTGCCCGACTGAGGCCAAGAACTTTCTACAAACTACGAGACGTTATAATGTAACAATACTCACTTAAAGCAACGAGAAAATTTCAAAAGGTTCGAGTAACGTGACGTCAATTCACAACAATTGAACTAAACAACAAATGATTCGTAAACTATTACGTAAGCAAACCTGCGAGAAATGATCGCTTCTAAAAATACTAGATTTAACACCTTATAACTATCTAAATTATAACCCTCATATCAAATTTAAATAAACAGTCGTGTATATCTAACACTCCTTAATTTTATGATAATCGTTGAATGCAGTAAAAATCGTTCTTACTTCTTCTACTAACGTTCTTGCTTTCTGTGGCTTTATGTGTTAAATTATTTTCAAAATATATTTCACTTTGTCATATTGAAATTATTCTAGTATACCTGAGAGCATTTTCCAAAGTAACAACGTTAATCATGGAACTGAGAGGATACGCGACCCAGGCGAAGGCCACAGACCTGAAAAAAAAATACCTTTAGATGAAAACTAAAGTATTATAGAATCATTTTTACAAACTTATATAAACCTATAAAATTTGTCACAAATATCGGTCTGTAATACCTAAGTCATTGAATTATTGACTTTTCTATAAAAATACGTTAATTTAGATTTTTAATGTATATATAGTTAGTTTTATTACGCAATCGTCTTTATTTTTATTATATAATTTGCTTTATTATGAGAATTACTTTTCATTATTAACTTAGTATATGTATTTAGAGCTAGTCTAAAGCTCCTAAACTGGCCTAATGTCATGAGATATTATTGGAATTACGGCCGAAAGTATTATTAAATAGTGAGGGTACCCCACTGATGAAGCAAAGCGTTCTAATCAAGAACGGTATATTAAATTATATATATTCATTATAAGCTATATTTATAATTGGAAAGTTACTGCTGGACTGCTCAAATATATTAATTAAACAAAAGGAAAAATAAATACTAAGGTGTTACCTGACTTGACTGTCGTTGTAAGGACGTACTGAGTAGATACTGACCCTCGCTCCAGTAAGAGTATTGAGAGCTCTTGTTTGTTGGACAAAATAAAAAAAATGTTATTGCCGCTGAAACCTGTCTACAAGTTTTTATTTACTTGAAACATTACTACCGCTAAGAGATCAGGTGCAATTTATTTACGCAATTATATATATATATATTTATTTTTTTCACGCGTATCAACTTTTAAGGTATCTAAAGACCTCTTTAATATCATTGGAAAACGTAATCAGTCCTGAAATTGTCCTATTTTGACAGGTTTCCAAACATTCAATTACAAATTACTGGCAAAAACTAAAATATAATTTCAGATTTCAAAAGTACTGCTGAGTCTTTACATATATGTACAGTGTTTATTTAATTCAGTTGAAGATTTACCTCTCTATTTCGTTCTTTCTGTCCAGAACACCCGCCACAGACAAGGGGATAATAAAGCTTAGTGTCCTATTAAGATACTCCTGGATTACAGAAGAAAATAAATCCGTGTATACTATTTTATACCGAAATATTGTTGTTGTGTTTTGTATATATGAAGCTTTTGGATAACAGAAGAAATATACTATTATATTATATTAAAAACAGAACTTTTATTGGTTTTGAAGAAGACAGCATACGAGTATTTATTTTAACGAGTCCAATTTAGTTTTTGATCATCCTTATCAATTAGCTGGAGAATATTTGAATGACTGAATAGTTTAGTATTTGACAAATTTTTCAATTTCTATTGCTGAAACCAACATTCTTTTAAACATTTTTTTAAACATCTTTTTTTTTTGCAAAAATCACCGCAGATGTTTTTTCACAAATTCCTCTTCATTTACCCATTGGGATTCAAAATCAGAGGCGTGTAAAAAGAACATTTCAGGTCTTTTGTATCCCACAATCACTGCCCTAGAATCCCAGCTGACGAGTTCTGGTATTGTACGTAAGACCTATTGGTCAATTACTTGTAAAGGAGACAAAAATAGACCTGAAATGCTATTTTTATATCCTTCTGATTTCGAGTTCTAAATGGACAAATTAAGAGGAATGGGTAAAAAATATCTTCAGTTAATATGATTTTAATCAAGAATTTTAAGCCTAATGGTTTCTACTTTTTTCGCCAACTTTCGGCATTTAAACTGTAAATTATTTTAAACAACAAATAAAAACAACTCTGTATACAATGCAGGATACAGAATCATCTTAGATGACCTCTCCATGTTATGAGAGAAACATAAAAATATGTGTGTTTTATAGGAACTTCACATTATTCATAATAATTCTTTATTTCCAATATTTTTCAATACTATACGGTAAAAAAAAAAAAAAAATCCTCGTTCCTGCTTTGGTATAACGTTTTTACGCCGTCTTAGATAGAAATAATTAAAGGAATATGAACTATATGTCAGAGCGAAAGAATTTTGCCCTATTTTGTTCAAGCTATTGCAAACAAAACTTGCCTGATTGTGCACCTGAACATCCACAGTAGAGGACTGTACAGGTACGCCATGATCGTGGGCTCTGACGTTTAGCGTTATAGGTGGGAGATTACTATTGCTGGTGTCTCCTTGTTGATTCTCAGCTATCAGAGGCTCCTTCAAAGTTATTTCACCAGTTATAGAATTAATGTGAAATTTGTCTTGATAATTTCCACTCACTATTTCATAAGTCACATTACTATTAGGCCCTGGACCGTCTGCATCATAAGCCTAACGTCAGAGAAAAGGAATGTAAATATTCAGTTTAAAATATACGATTTATTATAATTTTTTTAAAATGCATGATTAAAAGTAACATGTTGTAAATATGAAAGTGAAAAAATTATAGAAAAAAGTTAGTTTTTCTGAGAGTAATTACATAAACAAATAACTTACACGTTCCTACAACAAAAGCATATATAGGAGGACGTTTTTATACTGATTTTAAAGATTGTATCACGAAGGTTACAAAAAATGGCTTCCAGATCCTTGTAATTCGTCAAATAATATTAATTTAAACCGTATTAAAATTGTCTAATTATAGCCTCACCATGAAACTGTTTTATTCCTTACAAAGAATTTTAGCCCCCTATTACCAAACTTAAGTATTAAACTTTCCGTGGCAGTAATCGTACTATTATTTCTCTTCTTACATATGATAATATTAGTCACGGGTGAAATTTACTGTGCAATTTTTTTTTTTACCTTTACTATTAATCTCTGGTTAAACGTTTTCATGTCAGTGTTTAACACGGCATCATAACGGGGCTGCAAAAACGTTGGTATGTTGTCATTAGCGTCCACCAGACGGAGCAGTAATTCTACAACATTCTTGTTACCTTTACCATTATCATCACGAGCTTCCACAATCAAAGTATACTCTGGAATTCTCTCCCTGTCTATCCCTTCAAGAGTTTGTAAGGTGATGACCCCGGTTTCCGGGTCCAGTTTTAGACTATGTGAATAAAAAACACAGGTAAGTATAATCCTTAAACAATGTATGCATAGAAAGTACTTTGCGAATTTGACGATTATTTATTCCTACGAAAATCAATATAATATATATATATAAGTATGTATATATACATTGACATAAGCGTGTGTGTATATATATATATGTGTGTGTGTGAGCTGTATTATCCAAATAAGTATTATTACACAACACGCCATATTACATAAGTGAAAACAAGGTTCAAATAAGTTTACCTGTACGAGTTGAATTGCTAATCAGTTTGTTGGTGTAATTTTCTGAGAGTTTCTTGGTGATAATTTTCACTCATATCAAGTTCCTTACTTACAAAATTGAGAATACCGTTAAATTTGACAATACTTGCTGTTGTTTTGAGCCCCTCATTGCTGTATTGACTAGGTGTTGTTATCGTAGCTTTGAGGCCCTCGTTGTTGTAAACGGCTATGTGACTCATGTCCGAAATAATATTAATAGATTTTTATAAATATTTTTTCACTTTCATTGCATAGCTTTGATACATCCGTTAAACACTGTCACAGGACAAAATGTCTCATATTTGGTAAACGTATTATTGTTTTAAACTTAGTCGATTTTAAATCTCACCAACACGGAAAGAGCTCGTTTTCTTCAAGTGAATTGACCAAATAAAGGAAGAGCATATGATTGGTTAAAATCAATATATATAAGAAGTTTCTAATAGATAATGAAAAGTTACCGTGCAGACAGAAAAACGTCAATATAATCTTAGAAACTCAAGTACGTTCAGAAACACACCTCATGCTTTTTTATTATTATTCTTCCTTTCTTCTCCTTATCCTCAATTTGACCTCAAATTCACAGATTTTGACTCGTCATTCAGTTCACCTTGTTTTTGTTTGGATCAATAAGTTTAATGAATTGCAAATCAGTATCAACTACTTTTAGAAAGTTTTTCTAGCTGTACATCGTGGATAACGAACATGTAACGTTCCATACATTAAGGTATATATTTTTTATAGGATAACCTAACATAAAGAAGACGTTGCATTAAACATCGAAGTCCAACTCATAACAGAAACGCAAATGTGATTATTTTTCATCATGTACATTTTTATATGAACTCATGCTATTATTATTGTATTTTTTTTCTGAGTTCCAGCTTTCATCTTTTTCCCATTATTTTCGCATTTTCATCTAAAAATTTAACTTTTGCCTCGTCCACTTCTTTGATCTTCTCATTATATTTCCTAACCATAAAAATTCACATTCATACGGTGTTAATACGTTTATTTAAAATTTAAAATATCCTATGTTATTCTAATTTCTCTTTTCCTCGTTCATAGGAATAATTTATTACATAAATATATCTTAAAAATAAATTTATTATAATCACTCCTTATACACAAAACTATATTTTCACAATATCGAGGAATAACAGCAGTATCAAGGCGTATATAAGTACAAGAATCCATGAGTTGAATGTAATTCTAAGAATCCATGAGTTGAAGAAAAGGAGAATATGTTTGTGTCATATCAATGGCGTTGAGGCCTTTCGCCCAGTAACCAGGTCGGCTGGGATACGACCAACATAGTAATGATCTAGGTATCATATATATAATCAGTTTTCACAAACAACGTCTATTCAGGAGTGAGTCATATTAAGCAATTGGATCGTAAGTATTATCAATTTTATTTAAGTCATTTACAAATCGGATTTTTAGGGTAAGACAACCGTATGTAATATTTATTATCATGTCGTACATGAGATGGCGCCACATAGTAGTTACCACAGTGTAGACTGATTATAACATAAGTATTTCTTAGCAGCATTCATTTTATGCGATAAATCGTAGATATATATATATGTTTACTATAATACGCTATGTATTAATTAATAAATAAAATAATTAATTAGTTTATTTATTTTTTACTAATTATGTAAACTCAATATAAACTTCTTTTTTTTTACCAAAAATGGGAGCTGCTGAAAGTGACATTGTTCTGCTACTGAAGTTTATAACATTGATTACTCATATTCGACATATAAGAATCACTTGGAAACAAAAGATGACTGAAAAGTGTAATCTTGTAATGTACCATTGACTACTTTTAAACCTGGTATGTAAGGTTAGGACTTTGGAAATGGTATATTCTCTTAGTAGTGATTTAACTATTTTCACTTTTAGCTGTGCAGACGAAATAGAGCATCTTTTATTCTCAGATAACACATAGTACTAATTAAAAAGTAAGGAGAATTTGTGATTAAATAATTAACATACGTAAGTAGGAAAAACTGATTTACATAATACAATTCTTTTTTGTCAATAATTATTCATATCTGAATAAAATATTTGATACATCATATATATATATATATATATATATACATGTCGTAAGTAAGGTAGTACTTATATTAGGAATGGAGCGGATACACAATGCATGCAATACAAACTATTTACTCATATACACCTTTAATAACCAAATAATAAATCTTCAAAATTATTCGAGAGACACACTTAGATGATAAACAAACTATATCAAAAATTACAAGTCACAGGACCACTTGAGAAAGTCAGCAGAGCAGATACAAATAACCTCAAAATCACAAAATGTCTCAATCTCACTGATTGACTGATATTGTTTAACGCTTCTAGCTGTGTAACAAACAGACTTACCATAGTTATAAGTGTGCACCAAATAGAACAATAGCACAGGGACCACGTGCTAGTGTTAGTGTGAAGAAGTTAATTAAATTAATTAACTAATTTATCAACCCTTAGTATATGCACACAACCATAATTCACATTATATTACCCAAATGACATTTCACACTACAGAATGTGTGTCATCACATGTACAGCACACATGCACACTCACAATGTGTACACACAACATAAGTGAAGATATTGTACACCACAGATACACCATTATTTGCACATACCATAATATTGTGGTACACACCCTCACCGATGATATACATACAGGATATCAACACAAATGAATGAATGATACATAAGATCATGCCATCTTGTATG